GGAGAGGTTGCCTACAAACTTGCTTTGCCACCGCAGATCGACAGAGTTCATAATGTCTTTCATGTATCGATGCTACGGAAGTACAAGCCGGATCCATCTCACATTTTGAGTTGGGTTGATGTCAACATTGATGAAGATGTTTCCTATGAGGAGGGACCAGTTCAGATCCTTGACACACAGCTGAAGGTGTTAAGGAAAAAGACGATACCATTGGTAAAGGTTCTTTGGAGGCATCACGGAGTTGAGGAGGCTACTTGGGAGCTCGAACATGATGTTCCCTCCAAGTATCCAGAGTTGTTTTCTCCCTCAGGTATGGCTTGATTTCAGGGACGAAATCTTTTAAAGTTAGGGAAAATGTAATAGTTATGATTATATATATATGTATATAGATATTAAAGTTAAAAGATTTTTTTTAAAAAAGTAAGTGGACCCACTAACAAATTAAACATAACAAAAGGCCATAAAGCCATTACGCAGACACATTCTCTCTTTCTGCTGCATCACTCCTCTCGGCAGTTTCATTTTTCTTTTTCTTTTTTTGCAACTTCAAACCTTGATCTAGTTATTTCCTTTAGGAATTTGGTAGAACATTGTGAAGCAAAGTTGTAGAGCTTGTCGAGGCCGTTAATTTGATAGGAGCCGATTATCATTTAGCGAAGCCCAGGGGTTCCAAAATTAGGGCTTGGATTTGGGGATTTTGGGGGCTTTCACTTCCATTGAGGTAGGGGTGTTTTGATCTATAACTTCTTGGTTTTTTTTTTTTTTTTTTTTTTTTTTTTTTTTTTTGTGGATTTTCCCCCTTAAATTTGATTCTAAGCATGCTAATTTTGATTACCTAGTTTGTGGTTGTTGTAAGTATGATTAATCAAAGTGATAAATGTGTTCCATGTGTTATTTGAATTCATATATATGATTAGTTTCATTACGGTGAATGAGCATGCTTAGTGTTGACATATTGTATGCCTTATGATTATTTATTTATTTCTTTGAAAAATTGAATGCTGCGGTTGTAAATAAATAAATAAATAAAATGAATGAATGTTAAATTCTTATTAAATTGTGATGATGATATAAATGGAATGTGTGAAAGCCCATAGTTGAATTGATGATTAGAAGTATGAAGCATTCATGCACCCATCGGGAAGAGAAAAGGGAAAAATGTTTTCAAAACAATGGAAATAAATTTTTGGGAAAAGTATTTCTAAAAGTGTTTACGAAAACCGGACGCCTAGGAGGCGCCTAGTGGTTCGTGATGTTGGTGTAATCTAGAAGGGAAAGTAGTTGAGTTAACTAGGCCGGATGTGGCGCCTTGGAGGTGCCTTGTGGTCGTGGATAGTTAACCAACCTTCATTTCGTGACTCCATGGAGGTGCCTTGGGTCGGACTACACTAACGGTTTGGTTGTTGAAACGGAATTATTTCGAAAATGTGGAGTGACATTTGCATAACATTGCACTTCATGACATTGTGGTAAAATTGTGATTGGTTGATATTTGTTACATATTGCTATTGTGGTTGAGAATATGTGTTTCCCTATGGCATAATCCCGTTCACTTTTTATCTATTCATTGTATGGATTCACGGGGACATAAGAAGTGTGTCTCAGACACTTCCTACTGAGCTTATGCTCACCCCATTATTTTTTAACATTTTTCAGGACATGAAAAAGAGGTGGCAGACGACGATCCATCACAATTTTAGACGAGCTTGGGGATCTATTTTATTTTTGCTATCTTTTGTATTAGAACTCTAATATTTTGTAAATGTAATCTTAACTATCTTGTGAAACTTTAGTTTAATTAGTATAATGTTGTAAGCTGTGGACTTTTAAATTCTAACTACACTTTTGGACTGTAAATTGATGTAACTAAAGTGTGTCCCTTGTTTGGATGAGATAGAGGAACGGGACTTTTGTATGTATGTAACCATTTTGGGAATGTAATATAATATCTGTATTGTGCGTTGTGACATGATAGGTTAGATTTAAGGCCCAGTGAGGCTATTGCATTTATTTTTGTATTTCAACAGGTTGTAGAGGGACTTTTCTGCTGAGGTCATGCCGAAATTTTATATATTTTTTTAAATATTATTTTGGTATCCTTTTGGGGCGTTACACTTCTAATCTAGTTAATCCTACTATTCCGATCATTATTACACCTAAATGCAGAAGCTCTAAATTTCTTTTTTCTAGCTCTTGACAAGCCTCTGGCGTTATGAGATCTAAAATTACTTGGTTGTTTACTACCCTTATCCTTCGCTGACTAAGGTGATTGTAGATCTTGCTCTGGAAATTTAATAAATTATTAGAATAAAGATTAACTTTATTGGATACTTTCTTCATTCATTTTTCGATATATTTTTGAGCATCATACTCATTATCATATAGATCTTCTACCCTCATTATTTCTTTGGCTTTTCTAAGGACAATGGCCATTCTCTATGTGGTTGTAAAAGATTTACACCCTTGGTTTTAATCGGGAAGGAATTGGTTGATAACTTTAAATCTTTTATTTTATCAGATAGTTCCGATAATTCTCCAGAGGATTCTCTAGGAATACTTTCTTGTATTACTTCTAATTTTTCTTCAAACTTGTTTACTTTTTCAGATAACTGGAGTAATAACTGGATTAAAAAATTGTTTTGTCTAATATTTATATTAGCTAATTGTATGTCTGTTTTAAAACTTGTAAATCCTGCAGGATCTTTGTCAATTTTTAAATTTCACCTAATGCTACTAGATAGTCAGGATTACTAGTGCTCATAAAATTATTGTAATAGTCTTTGGATATCTATTTTTAAGGATTTTAAATAATCTATAATTATTTTTTGATTTTCTAAAATATTTTTTGTATCACTATTTATGTCTTTAATAGCAACTAATATAATCTTATTGTCTAGATTATTTGGACTAGAATTCTGGTCTATTTGGGTTTTAATATAATCTAGATTTTCTCCTAGTCGTTTTATAAAGTTATTTAAGTTATTAAACTCTATTCTACTCATATACTTAATTAAAATCTTTGTCGTCTAGTTTCTAGAATATTCTGTATAAGAAGAATTCTAGATCTAAGTTCTTCTATTCTTCGGCGAAGGCTATGTGTTGTATTACCGGTTTCTAGAGAAATGTAACAGTTTCTAATTGCTATTTGAAGAAATTCTAAAGTGTCTACAAGTTGTTATTTAGGTAAATTGTGCATAAAAATAGACTTTAGGGGTGGAAATATAATTTTAGCTTAAAGAAGGGTTAAAATAGAATTTGGTTCATGTATTTGTAAATATTAAAACTACGTTGATGAGTTTGAACTGTATTAAGAAGGGAGAAGTGACACATATATGAAAAATATTATAATCACATGAAAGACTACATATCGTAGATTGGCAAATAAGGGAACGTAATTGGAGCAACATCTTATACATCATGTATCTTCAAAATTGATTGCCATTTTCAATTTAGACAAACTATTACTAGTACTAAATAAGTTTGAGACGGATGGGTAGAGGAAAGATGAACAATGGTAGAGAGAGAGAAAGGGGTACCTTTGAGGATATTTTTGTCCTAAAAATTAGGTTTTCAATGTGCTACAAAAACTGAACTAATTTATCACCACATCATCAGTCAGTTCTAAAGTTGGTAAAATATGTCGGTTGATATAGCAATAACTTAATACTCCTAGGTACATAGAAGTAGGGACGGACCATGCTATTGGGTTGGGGGGGTGGGGGGCTGATAAAATTTCAAAGGTTTATAACTGAAAAAAGGTGTATTACTAAAAATAAGAAAAATTACAACTACTTAATGCTAAAATAAAAAAAAAAAAAAGAAAGAGTTGAGGGGGCAATTGCCCCCCTCGTTCCTCTGTAGGTCCGTCCCTGTATGGAAGTTCCTCTGTAAGTCCATCCCTCCGTAGAAGTAATTTTAGCTTAACTAAATATATTAGAACACCACTACACTAGTACTTGATAAAAGGGAATTTTAGCTAACTTAATATATTCACCTTTAACCTATTGGCCAAGTGTTACAAGAGGTACTTGTCGCACGTAAGATATGAATGAAAACTGAAAGTAATATAAATGGGTGAGTATGTAATACTACCCAATAACTAAAGTTTTTGGGCAAACAATCGTCCACCCGTTACAGTATACCTAATCTTTGATCCGGTGTCACGCCAAACGCCCAGCCCGAAAGCGTCCAAGGTAAACCCACCCAAATAAACTGGGTGGTTAACCGGTGTCACGCCAAACGCCCAGCCCGAAAGCGTCCAAGGTAAACCCACCCAAATAAGCTGGGTGGTTAACCGAAACAATGACGTTGTGAGTTCAGATATATATATACAGGCATGTACCCAACATAAGACGTGGATTTTTTATATTTTCATTTTATATCTCAATTTTTTAAAAATTTATAAAGATGCCCCCACTAAAATTACAATTTGCCCCATTGGATTCCTTCTTTTTCTTTTTCGTTTTTTTTTTTTTTTTTTTTTTAATTTACATTTTATACTTTATTTTATAAAAATTTATGAAGAAAACCCATTGAAATTACAAAAATGGACCTACTATATAAGTTTGCCCCGACAAAATAAAAGGCCACCCCCTCACAAAATTTTTTTGATCCATCACTATATGTATGTATATATATATATATATTTGCGAAGAATCTAAGTAGTATAGTCTTTGCTTGTTGTTTGTTTAATTGTGTCAGTGTGTATTTATTTATAAATATAAATAAAAATTTATTACTACGTAATAAATTTCCTATAGTTTGCCTAACTACTCAATTCACCCCCTTGAGTCTTTGCTTGGTGTTTATTTAATTGTGTCAGTGTGTATTTAATTGTGTTTATTTCATTCTCGATGGCCAAAGAAGCTGAATGATGAGAATGAAAGGGCCATTACACATCGAGAACCTGAGCTTTTACCACTACATCAGGCTACATCAGGCAATGACTCCTAAAAGAAGCATCCTCATATATAAATCCAATGAAATGGTGAGATGGCAAGTTGATTTGAGTCCCCAAAGCTTGATTTAGAGCCACTAATAAGTGTCTTGAATCCTATGAAAAGATACATGAGTAAATATAAGCAAAACATCACAGTAGCTTCAACCTTAGGTTGGCACCAATTTTTGGGTTTCTAACAGACTTCTCAAGACAACATTTTCCAAAATCTGCTCATCTGAAGAGGCCAGAGTAAGATCTAGTGGAAAATCTTTGGAGGTGCTTATGCCAACCTTAACCTACAAGGCTACAACCTGCATTTTGCAGTGGCTAGAGGGAAACCGGTCCCCTCATCTAAAACATCCCAAGTCACTACTGAACTTAATGCAGACAGCTTTTACAGCTTCATATTTGAGCCTTGGCTACCAAATCCACAAATTCGGCAAAGAATCTAAACATTTACAATCTACTGTAATCCAGTAACAGGAAGGCCATCATATGAACTACCAGATGTACTTGCATAGCAAAAGCTCAAACTTCTGCTCACACAACAACTTCACACGATATTCAATCAGGCAGACCTTACCAGTGCTGCATTGCATTTGTGATTGGAATATATTTTTGGATAGCCCATTAATAGCATCTCTGAATTTCTCTAACATGGTCTGTTTTTTGCCACAACCCTCTAAACGGAGAACCATCTCACTATCTCAGCATACTGAATAACATTGTCCAATAGAACGAGCCAATAGAAATTTATTAACAGCACTTTGTAGACCGACCTGCAACTTCAAACTTGAATTCTGGGATTGAAGGGCACAATCAGCATTGAAATATTGCTCATCCTCACAGAAGGTTTGAGAAATGGACTCGATGTCATACATCAGAGAATTAGCACTTTGTCATCTATAGTGACCAGCGAGGCTGTTCGCTATTCATAAACTACATGCTGCATGTAAATTAAAAAAATTAGCCAACTTGTCTCATTGCACATCTGCACACAATCTTCATCAGGCAGCAACTACAAGTACTATATATGTAACTGAAGTTTACACATCATTTACTGCATAGCCCATCAACAGCATCTCTGCTTTTTCTGGACATGATTGCTATGATTGCTTCTAACAATGCTTCTGATTTTGACCCATTGCAGCACGCTGAACAGCTTTAGCCATCTTATTTGGGAACCACTCGTAGCTCTTTGTTCGGCAGCAGGTAATTCCACAGCCAGGTTCTCAGGTTGAGGGTTATGATCATTATTGAGAAACAACAAACCCTCGTTCACATCAACATCCTGAATCATGGATAATAGATCAAAGTCCGGATCAACTATTAAATTCATATCATCTTCTTCAATAAGGGTAAAATTCGCATCGTCAATAGTGCAGCCACAATCATCCAGAGATGAGGTACTTGGCTGTATATAGCCGTTTCCATTGATCATGTGACAAGTCCCAGAGTTATGGCCACAAGGATTCTCCAGTCTGGGTGAGTTTGAGGGATGAGTTTCAGAACAGGCATGGATGAGAGAAGTAATATTTTCATAAGAGACAAAATCCTCCCGGTGTTCAAATGCAGGAACAACCAACTTGTGGGCATTAGCCTGATATCAAAATCAATGATATCTCAGCTATAGGTGACTCCAACAAAGATTAAACAAATAAGAAATAGAAGAATAGAAACATGCCTTTTCAGTTTCAGAAAGCATATCAATAGGAATATACTCGCATTCCAAGAGTAGCCCCATCAACTGTCCCACAACATTGAAAACCAACCCAATTTCTTGTTGAGAACTGGAACGGTACAAGTGCACCGTTTCGTCAAGTTTACATGTCCGAGCATGATCTATCATGATCTCCACCATCTTAGTCCCTGCATTCTTAGTCCCTGCAACAAGGATCTGCAAACATCCAACAAACACATTTTGCTAAACTTCATACACCAAAGGAGGTTGGAATAATATTATTTTCCAATGCAGATGACAGCCTTCAGTTTGAGTCAGAAATACTGAAACTCTTAGAATGTAAGCCAAACTCTTTCATTAGGTCAAAAAACTTAATGTACCTAAATTTCAGCTTGAATTTTATCATTATTTAGGTTTCATTTTGGCCACTGATTTTCAAATCTTAATTTCAACTAAGAAGATACTCATGGTACAATGCTCTATATATTAAGGACAGAGATGGGATGTCATTGTCTACAAAGAATAGCAGGTCCCATGCAGGGAGAATGGGGAAGCTGAAAATTGAGATTTTACAAAAGTTATGTGAATAGATGTTCAAAATAAATACATATTTTTGGTGTCTTAAGTGCATGAAATGATAAGCTATACGGTAACATACTTGGGTGGGAAGAAAATTGTCCCTGTCGACCTATTCTTTTAAGCCAGAAACAAGGAGGTGAATTTTCAATGTTCTCAATGAAGATGGAGTGCACAAATTATCACAAAAACAAGTTTATCAATAAATCAATTCCTTAATAAGAAAAAATGTTCATCATTAAAAAAAGTAACATTTAATATATATTAAGTAGTGCCTTGGACAATTTCAATGAAAACAGAGTAAAAAGTTGAATATAGCACTAACAAATACTGCAAAGGTTAATATAAGAGGAAAGATAAGTCAATAATTACATCATAGAGCCTTTGACGGTTTATAAAGAACAGAGTCAGAAAATCCTTCACTGTGGTAATGTTTTCCTTGCTTAAAAGCTTATGGAAAGGGCCATCTTTGCGAATCTTCTTTAATCTCCACACTTCATCAAGAAGTGATGGAGTATCGTGCTTCCCGTACACTGCAAACAAAAACTAGAAATTACAGTTATCTTGTTTAAATATCTCAACTATCAAAAAGTTATTCCACGACCCTAGAATGTGTAAAAATTTACCTTCTTTGCCTGAATTTATTCTTTTGTAGTTTCAAGAGAATCCATTTATGCAAACAATTCAGACTAAAGAAATTAGTGATTTCTATCACTAGATCAAATTTTTTTTTTTTTCCAGCATAACTTCATTAGTGCATAGTAATACATATCACTTCACTTATCAAAAACAAAAAATGTAATACATGTTACTTCATTCATTCAAATAAATATCACATTTGATATTCCGAAGCAGTAACTATCAATACCAACTAACACGTACAAGTTAAACTGTTATCCAAGGCTTTGATATGTCAGAGTGTAAGTGGTGACTTTGGCTGAGAAGGGCGGGCTTTGAATGGGTGATGTAGGATTTAAGAACATCCTCAAACAGTTTGGTTTGAGATGTGTACTGAGATAAAGGATTTGAAATAACAACAGCCTATTGGAGTCACACCAATAAGCCTAGGCATCACACCTAAAGAAGGCCTCAAACCTCCTAATTTGTGAATCATTTGCAAGAAATTTCAAAAGAGATTTATTATTCATTCATTCAACACTTGCATGGAGGTTAACTTTGTTGTGAGCAGAAATCCAAAAAACCAACGTTGTTAGAGGAGTAAAACACACAAGAAAACACGAAGAAAAGGAACAATCACACACAACCAACACAAGATATACGTGGTCCACCCAAAACTATGGCTATGTCCACGAATCGCACATGACAAATTCACTATGAAAAAGATGAAGGATTACAATGGAGAATTTTCCTCTTAATCTCTCTCACTTGCTCTCTCTTGTGTAGGCACAATTCAATCCTCTCATCATACCCTAAAGTCTGATTAGGGTTGGTATAAATACTCCCAAACAAAGAAACAAATCTTTCCCCACAAGTCTAGGTTTTTGGAAAGTCAAAAACCAAAAGATGGACCGGTCCAAAAAAGATGGACCGGTCCATCTTGACAAAAAACACAGTTCTCAACTCACTTCCCAACTTGGTCTGGTCCAAAAAAGTTGGACCAGTCCATTTTGGTCAGTAGCCAAAATCTCCATTGAGAGTAGCAGTTGGACCGATCCGTAAATCATGGACTGGTCCAAGTCACCTGACTTGTAATCCCAAAAGTGATCAGACTCCACAAACCTCAACAAACTTATGACTTTTGGACTTGCCTCATAATTGAGATAATCAATATTACTCACAACATTTCCAATTCCTAACTCATGAGTTAATAACATAAAAGCAAATAAACCTCCTTAATTGCATCACAATGCCCAACAAACTCATAAATGATGCAACCTGACCAAATACTCCTAGTGGACCCACATCATCTAACCTCCTTTCATACATCTTTAAAGATTTTTGCCATTAATCTTCACCAATAGGTCATATACTGCTTATAACGAACTCTTCAGATGTCCGTTGATCATTTTTTAAATTCAATTAGTTTGTTGTGAAGATTGACATTTAAAATTTAGTTAATTTTCAATTTTCATCAATCTTACTCACAATCATGCAAAAAACAGAAAATAAAGCAGAATTGAGCAGATACACACACATTTTTACATGGCTCGCCCAAAAGGGAAAACCCACAAGATCTAGTCCAGTTAGGCACAATTTACAATATGAGAAAGAGATCGTAATCAGATTATCACTCCCCTCAGCCTAGAACCCTTGTTACCTCCTGACATAAAATGAGTAGAAAAGCTTCGAGGTTGTCCGTCTCTTGTCAACAGACTTTGCTAGTCACGAATTTGTTTCTCCAGCAATTGGTCACCTTTTCTGCTCTGATAGTTGAAAGGCATAATTGGATTGGATTGATGAACACTCAACCACATATGATAGAATCTGTGGAAACCCTCGATTGAGTAAATTGAGAATTCTCCTCTCACAAGGATTTCTCTCTCTAGATGATTAAGGACATTCCACATACTCCTAGACTGACTATAACTACTATTTATAACCCAAGTCACACAATTCATCCAAGCGGGTGCTGCTCTCACGCTCCGTGCGTGCTCCCATTTTCACACTCCGCTCGCACTTTCAGTCCTACTGCCATTGTATGTGACTTAGATTTTGCTGCTTTGGTGTTCCCACTCTCGCACCTGCTCCCGCTCCGTGTGACTTAGTTTATAGCTAATATAGGAGTACGTTTTAGTATCCTTGTAAAATTGTAATTTAAGGGAATTACCGAAAATTATGTCCTTTAGGTTCAATCGATTGAGCCTTCGATGGAGCCTATTGGACACTCCTTGATTGGTCAACCCTTTGATCGAGGCTTACTAGATTTGAAAGAAATTTTCAGTCTTAAATTCGATTGCTCGACCATTCAATCAATGACTATTGGAAGATAATTGATCGATTGACAATCGATGACTATTGTTCTCCAGTTCAAAATCCAGGTTTGAAAAATATCTAAAACTTCAATTTTGAAAAGCCATTTTTCCAAAACATCTACAAAACAATTTTATGAGCCCAACCAAGAGCAAACTAGGTCAAATTAGGTCTAGGTCATTTTACGTGAAAGGCAATATGTTGTCGAAAGCAGGGAGAGAGATCCTTTTAAAGTCTGTTATGGGCTGCACTTCCATCCTATTTTTTTCAGTGTTTCAAAATTCCTCTCTTTCAAACTTTATTCGCACGCAGCCAGTTCTCTAATTTCTGGTGGAGTGGGTCTGAGGCGGGGCAGAAGATTAACTGGGTTAGTTGGGACTCTTTGTGTAAGCCCTGCATAATTAACACATGGGCTGGGTTTCTGGCTGCCCTAGATATGTCATCAAGGATACAAATTTCACTATGTTCCTTGCAATTCTGTGTCTGCCTGCCTTATCTTCAACAGATATACTCAAACAATTCAAGACGCTTTTGTCACATTACAACACAAGTTCTGAGAAGAAATATGTCAACACATGACTCGTGCACCTAACATACAATATTAAACTAAATGATACAACAGTTGAATTTATTGGAGTTGATGAAAAAAAGAAAAAGAAAAGAAGAGTGAACAGTACGTGTAGACCATGTTCTTAATGCCCCATAAGTTCAAACCAATTCAAAAACATTTACAATTCCCTCATCACTCCATAGTTCAGGGAACTAACAGACATCAACAAGATGCTATAAGATGTGAAAACAACAGATCTATCTGAGCAGCTCATTGTCTGTTTCTGTTCAGAAAGATTTAAATAATTAAATGACTCACTATTCCCACTTACATTTATCACATTGTTAACAATACAATATAACTAGAAGATTAAGATAAAAACCTCCTAGCTGATTTTCACAAATAATAATAATAATAAATAATAATAATAAAAGAAGAAGGAGGAAAAGAAGAAGAAGAAGAAGAAAATAAAATAAAATAAAATAAACGCCTCCCAGCTATAGCTTTCTGTTAGATAGGAAAATGAATTGATATGCATTCAACATAATATGAAAAATGTTCTCCTTTCTACAAATTTCAAATATATATATATATATATATATATATTTTAAAAAATTTGTTTAAACCTGCAGTTATAGACTATATAGTGCTATTTTGCATTCAAAAAAACATCGTTTGGATGGATCAAATGCATTTAATTTTGACACTCAACATGAGAGCTTTAATATGATGCTATTATCAAATGAACAACTTTTTTAACCCCTTAAAACGTCTTGCCTCAATAGGTTATTTAATAAATAAAATAAATATACATACAGAAATACACGCATACATAAATCCAAATCCATGAGGTGCGGGCCACGGGGAAGAAATATGATATACATTTTATATCACATTAATTGATTTAGGTACACCAAAATTTCCTTTTATTAGTTAAAGCATTAAGCATTTAACCCTTTATGTTCAGTTCTATTAGATTCCACAGCCACCAACAAGCCTTCAACATCATCCTACCTCCTCATACGTCTGCATGATCACAGAAAAAGAAAAAAAGAAAAACATTCATAAACTTTTGTAGTGCTTTCCCCATGTCAAGCACACACACACAACATGCTTGGAACTGTTATAGTATAAGTTTCTGAGTCCCTGTTTAGATGATATGTTGGATCACCAATCTGGTTCAAAGATTTTTTCCATGGTCAGTGATCATATAGTGGATCACGAAATCTTTTATCATCTGCGAGAATACATGGAAGGGACTCCAACTCTCTTCTCTTGCCTTAATGTCTCTATGTCCAATGGTGAGACTAACTAATTGAGCAAGAATGCGGACCATTTATTTTATAACTACGCATTCTCAAACATAATTACTACACAAGGTCCACATATACCACAATTCAAGATTTAACACGAGTCTGATGCAATCCAATGTAGATAACCTGACCTTATCCAGTGCAGTCTCTATCACAGTGTCCCCCCACAAACCAATTTTTTTTTTATAGAATAGGACATTAGACAAAAAGAAAAGCAAACCTTCTCTTATGATTGAAAAATGTAAAAGCACATAGTAAATCTGTTCCTTTAACACCCAAATCTGCTCCAAGATTATTAGTTTTCTTAACATGATGAAATAATACTGAAGAAAATTATCACCACCTTCAAAGCTTAAAGTGTGACATAACAAAATAATAAGTAAATTGAAGTGGCTAGTGGCTAACATTCCCACTCCCATCATCACTAATATATTATGCAATACACATAACTAGAACTCATATCTAATTTTAATAACACACCACAGTTAAAAATTTGGAATTAAACACATTAACAGTTATATATTTAATTGTCACAAAAACTTTCAGTACCACTGAACCCACTTTCTCTTCCCAAGATATAATTGGAAATGTCAGCCTTTGACAAATAAGTAGCAGATAATAAGATTAGAATACTCACGTGAACTGCGGCGATCTTTGAGAACGAAGGGTTCTGATATTGCTTCTCTTACTCTAGTCCCACCGAAATTATCCTCCACTCTAGCCGCAAGCCTGAATTCACCATTCTTCATCCATATTGAATTATGTGTAAAAGAAATCCCACCTAAAGTACCAATTCCTTCTTTCATATTCAGATATGGATTTCCAATAAGAAGAGATTTTTTCCCTTTTCTTTCTCTAATAATCTTTTGGTTGAACTCTTCAATTGTCCAATCATGTCCTTCATCGTCATCAAAATCTCCTTCAATAACAACTATTTCCACCTTTGCCGAGGCTTCAGGACCACAGTTAATAATTTCCTTTGTAAAACCATCAACTAAAGCAACTTTGATGGAGGTGCCTTTTTCTCCTTGAATTCGGATTCCAGTCAGTACTGGAAGAGAGAGTTTGTCTAAGAAGCATAGCTGTAAGATTTTCGACTCAGAAGGATGTATCTCATTCCTGGAGTTCCCAAAGAACAAGTTCAAGGATACGTCAATTATGCATCATTCACAAACAAGAGTGTCGATTGACTCAACAACATGGGAAAAGGCTGGTTAAACCTATAAACTACTACCATAAAGAAAAAGGAAAAAGAAATAGAAAAAAGGAAAGCAAGAAAGAAAAAAAGAATGATAACTTTGCCACCTACTCACTAGGGAAAAAGGAGAGAAAAAAGAAAAGAAAAGGAAAACACATATTTATGATGTTATAATACTCACCGCTTCAAGCTAGTCAAAATGGTTTCTTGTGCTGATTCAATTTCCTCTTTAACCTGGAAACACATATAACATCAATGAGATATTATTGACTATCTATACAATCGATTATGATCTACAATCCGCAGAACCAAAAAATGCAAAATAATGTGGGTTCTCAATTTTGCATAAAGCTATTGTTCATTGCCTCGTTTTGTAGACAGGAGTGCCTTAATTTACAGTGAAAGAACTATACCATTGCACAAGGATTCTCAAGTCATTCATCTTAAACAGAATTACAAGGACCAAGAAGACCAAAACCCAAGACAATTGAGATAATTTTAGGACCACAAGCAGTTGGTTTATAAGAAGTAGAAAACAAGATGCAATGCAGTTATATCCAAGACAATTGAGATGAGGCACAACAATGATTGTGTAACAAAAATTAACAAAAAGAAAAGAAAATCATGACCATATATGTTTTGGGTATTAAACACAGAATTCATGCACACTATTAGAAATGAATACTATTTTTATAAAAGAAGGAAAAATGGGCAAATCCTATGCAAATGTGTGGTATACACACTAACACAAAAGCTGCATCCGTTTTAGGTTTTTTTTTTGGCCTGATTTGGATTTAAAATGAGTGAGATATTGTTTGGACAATGGTAACTATCGGTCTTCTTTATGAGCCATATGTGGTTGGAGAGCTATCTGGTTAGCTTTCTAACAAAAAATGGCATCGAGTTTGGACTTCTGTAGGGCAAGTAATAGTCAATTTACTGAGGGGGGTTTTAACAGACTGAATATTTTGCCGTAGGGGAAAACTCACTAGTGATGATCAAGTACTAAGGTTTCTAGTTTTCTAACGTTTATAATTCGTGGCGTTTTTGTGCATCAAAGTTGAATCCTTATGGCCAAATTAGATAACTATTTTTATTTTTATTTTTTTTTTTTTTTTTTTTTTTTTTTTTTCATGATTCTAACAATTATATCATGCACACCTGCATATACACGTATATTCAAGCATCCATACATATAAACATACAAGTATATATGTGAATATATGATAGCCCAAAATGCACTCACAACTTTACGAATCAAAGGCTCCAGAATTGGCCCAATAAGTTGTCGGACCGTTCGGATCACAATCAGCTCCAGTTTCTTCCTAGAAAACGGAGAACAAAACAAACGAATCAAAAAAACAAAAACCTAATACAATAAAGGTCAAATTACTTTCAACACAAAATTATCACCAAATAAGCAAAACCCAGTTCAGATTTCGTTTGATTTTTCAATTTTTGCTCAACAATGTATGGTAATCTCAACAAAAGGAAAAGGAAAGAGAGAGAGATAAAAGTCTCACTCTATCAAACCGTCGTTTTTCAGTTCAGATACTGCGTTGTCATCTTCCAACTGTTGATTTAAACCCATTTCTAACCAAATGAAATGATTGGTAAGAGACAGAACTTGCACAGATATTGCATCTACTTAAGCATATGTAAATGTGTGTGTATGTATATATATGATCAATTATAACTACAATCCTACACAAAAACTTGGAGCTTTGTGTGCCAACGTTGTTTTGGAGAGGGAATTGACAATAACGGGGAGTAGGGGCCCAGATAAGGCGCGTCGTTGTGAAAGAAAAAGGTGAAACTCAACCACACACCAGCAACACTCCCCGTGTTGGGATGTCTTGGTGACTTGGGGTCAATGTTTATTATTATTATTGTTTTTCATTTTTGTTTTATTTATTTTAATTATTTTCAGCCTCAAATCGGATGTGAATTGCATCATTTTGAGCTTATTAAAAATGGCTAAGAAAATCTCACGAGCTATAAATATTTTCGGTTGTTGAATCGATTCCATGTAAAAAAATTGTAGTTTAGTGATATTTTTTTGACCTTTTAAAAAGAAACAAGGAAATTTAAATTTATTTAGGGATATTGGCTCTGTTAGTTAGGAAGGAAGTAAATTGGATGGAAGGGAGAAAATAGGGCAAGGATAAGACATCCTAGGGAAAATATTATGAATTTTCCTCGTTTGTTCAGTTGGATGGAAAAGAAGAGAAGAACCTACCAAATTCCCTTATTCATTACGAGAGGAAGGAAGAAATAATTTAAAATTATTTTTACCATTATACCTTTCATTATTTTTTTCTCGATAAATAGTCATCATCTTATTATAAATTTGACTAATTTATTGTTTGCTTTATATATATATATATATAATCATATTTCATCATGAATAATAATAATATAAACAAAAGTACCCCACTATCCGCATTCACTTGTTCTGGACTGGACAAGTACTTAGTTGATAAATATTAAACAAAAAACAAAATCTTGCATCCCAAAAACCATTATCCTGTAGAGTTATGTTAAACTAAAATTCTTTTTTTCAGTCATTTGCGTTATATTTAACTTGCATTACAACATAAGATCTGAACACTCTGTTGATGGTAGTTCGTGAATAGGATGAGGAGATCGTTCCATGTAAGCCAAGAGATCTGAGATCAGTATCCAAGTGGAGATCCAAGCAACACAAGGGGTTCTCTAGTTATGGAGATTAAGAAAGGGAAGGCTGACCTCGGTACCATGCAACCTCGAGCTTGTCGGAAGATAAGTGTTAATGTGGTGGTTGTGTGTGTTTAAGGCTGATTAACACCCCTATTTATAGTGTTTTCCTCCTCGGTCAATGTCTTTTGGTCCTTTAGCTGAGCCCGCTCTTATCCACAGGTTTAATAGTCTCTTCCTCTGATGGATGAGACATTGATGGATGGGTCGCGGCGCTTTGCCCCCCGGTCAAAGGAGGTAAAGGCGCTCCCTAATTAATGCGGGTCTTATCAAATGTCTTTCGCAATTAATGCATTGCTTATCCTTTATCGCTCGAGCTTAGGTACCGGGTATCCTTTCCCCCTTGTGCTGGCCTCGGACTGAGGCGACCCCTTAGATCTCAGTCACCTATCCACATGTCCTCAGATTCCCGTGCTTCAGTGGGGATAGGCCCCTTTTGAGGTCCTGCCTTCATGACCTCGCAGGTTCCCATCCCAGTTCTATCCCGAGGTCTTCTTTGCCAAGAAGGGAAGCGTGTACACAGGTTAGTTGAGGTTGCTCTTTCAGAGAGCACCCTCGATCGAGCCAGGGGGGGGGGGGGAGGAGCCCATCCGACTGGAGCGGGGCGCGTCCACAGTAGAGGAAGGGTAACGACCCCTCCCTCGACCAGTGAGTTCCGTTATTGGATAGGTAGCTTGAGAATACCTAATCCACCGTGGGCACGCCAGGTCATCACTGGTCAGTTGTGCCTATGTTGCAAAGGTGGCGCCACTTAGTCAGCTATCGTGGCGCGGTCATCAACATTTTGCCCCCCTGCTCGAGGTCGCTAAGGGGGAGCTCGAGCAAATTATTAACTTGGTTCAGGTTTGCCGTCATTATTGCTGGTACTAAAGAGTCGCATCTTTTCAGTCTCGAGGAGTCACATTACCTTGAGGAGTCATGTCGATTTGGCTTCCTAGGCCACGTGTCGCTTTTTTACTGGTGCGCCGAGTTGCGACGCTTCAAATGCCGAGCCTCTGTCTTTTCGTTTGTCAGAGGCGTGACGCTTGGGGTGTTAACCCCTACTATTTAAGCCCACACTTGTTTTTTTTCTTGTGAGATCGTGCAAATTAAATTTGACTTCTTAAAAGTCTTACCCTCCCCCACTTTTACTCGAGGTAGGATAACAGTGATGGCCTTGCGCGACGATGTCCCTAACGTCCCTCCTTTGGCTGAATGGCAAGTTGCTCCCTATTTTGGCCAGAACGATACCTTTTGGGCAAATAGCGATGAGCTTAGCGAGGTGGATGAGACCACAGTGGGCACATTCCTATTTAAGGGCAAGCCTTATGCATAGGCAGGAATACCCATCCTTCCTAGTTCGGTACTGCGATTTAGAATCGAATGCGGTGACTTTCTCCATTCTAGTCTCCCTTTTACCGGTTAGACCGGTCACGGCCGAGGCTGGGATTTATGGACGGATGCCATATTATCTGATGCTGAGTTTCTTGAGACTCTGAAGGCTTTAAGGATTGCAGACGCGGTCCGGAACACCCGCGAGCTAACCATCCCTCGAGACGTGCATGATCTCGCCCTTCTCGTATCTCGGTGGAGTCGTGATACCCACACTTTTGTTACCTCATGGGGCGAGTTTACCCCCACGATAGAGGATGTAGTACAACTTATGTGTTTGGCGAGCACAACCCTGGCTCCTAGGTGCTTTCTGAAGACGAGGTCAAACTCATTACCAAGCTTCGTAGCAGTGTCACCGCGGCCGGGAAGATCGCTTTGCGCTATCAGGATGACGGTCTTCGCGAGGAGTTTCCAGAGACTGGAAAGAAATGCACTTTCATGTCGCTCCTCCATTACTACTTTCGGGACTTTCCTCCTCAGGACCAAGAAGGAGAGGCCTCCTTCAATGGTCCTAAATGCAAAGACTCAGCTCGCCTCGCCGATTTTCTTCTATCTTGGCTATCGAGGTTCATTTTTCCAGGTCCTCCTGATGACGGACCGTGTCCGGATCTTATTCCTTTGGCTGTTAGGTTATCCTATGGCAACAGCTTTCCTTTAGCCGCACTATTTCTTGGTACGCTCTATCATGAGCTCGACTTGGCGCATACCCGGATGGAACACTCCGTTGGGCGTATGAGCGTGGTTTCTCCTGTCAACACAATCTTTCTTCAAATGTTCTTATATGAGCATTTTCCCCGTTATGGTCCTCACCCGACAGCGCTTCCTCGGGACAAAGGTTTGAAGCGATCCTTTCAATGGCATAAACATTCCACAAAAAAGAAATTGGCGGAGTATAATGACATGGAGAGTTGCTTTCTAGCTAGTCCCTATACTTACGGGCCGCGGGTGGAGTGTTGTGCCTTAAAGGATGGCATGGTTATCTCAGGCAAGTCTTTGAGACGTACCCCAGCCTTGACAATGATTGCTCTGTACACTGCGGGTTACCTTCCTGCCCTCCTTCCTCCTAACTCGGGTGTGGGTAAAGTTCACAATCCCCATAGGGTGGCTCGACAGTTTGGATTGGATCAAGGGCTTGCTCGAGACTATGGATATGGTGCGCGCCAAGACCATAGTACCTATGCCTTAGGATTTCTACGCTTCATTGATTCTGAGGAGGCCGAGCTCTTGAGAGATCGCCAGATTCTTTATGTTCCCTCGACCTCTCGAGTGGGACAATAGGGAGCGCAAACGAGAGCATACTGGAAGGAAGTGATCAATTCTTTTAAGCAATTTGTGGTTAGCACTCCAGTTCCTGTCCCTGCTCGTTCTTTATTGAAAGGTGACGCCTCATTTCGTCCCTTCAAGAACACGTCAATAGCGGCTCGCGGGAAGATTTGCAGTACCTCGGGTTTGCTTCCTTTAGTTTCATCCAGTGCCGCAGTGCCCGTGATAGCTCTTCAAGCTACAAAGACTCGTCGAGATAAGTGCAAAGTCGATCGAGACGTTAGTATTTTTGTCCCCGCAGCCACTTCTTCCAAGAAACCTAAGGTTAGTGCAAGTTACTGTCTTCGCAATTTCCATCATTTCTTAATACTTAACTGTTCCTTGTTTGTTTCCAGAACACCTCAAAGGATCCCCCCCTCGTTCACAGTTCTATTGCTCCCGCGGATGCTTCTCTTCCATCTACTCGAGCGGGGGTGGCTTCGAGCACAAGATCCCAATATGTGCTACTTAAGAAGACCTCTATTGCAGGTGCCACAGTTCATGTTTCAACAACTCATACTGGCTTGGCAGTTCCTCCTGATCCACTTCACACTCTTGCAAGCGTCCTTGAAGACTCCAAACGAGCAGCAAGAGAGATTCTGGCATCGGACCTAAATCCTCCTGTACCTTCCCGTCGCGGGATGGGGAAAGAGCTGATCCTCTTGGCTCAAGGCTTAGGCCGTCTTAACGAGGAGACGGGAGAAGTCAATACCGTGGTGGACCCTGCCATAGGGACCTTTAACTTTTAGAGAAGCCCAACTCACTCGCCTTCAAACGCAGGTAAATTAATTAAAATTTTTTTTTTTTTTTGAAAGACACCTTTGTCTTCATGATGTTACAGACATCGAAGCGACCACCTCTGATGCAGCCGAGGCAGCTAATGGTTCTGAGGGTCATCATTCTGGTCAACGAGGTGAGGACAGCAGCACTAGCTCGCAGGTTGAGATCGTCCACGTACTACCGCGAGAGCCTATTGCTGAGCTGCGAGAGATAGTTGAGTCAGCCATCCAATCCCTTCCTCCCCCTAAAGAGGATAGCTTAAATGAGACGGGGAGCTTAACCTTCAACGACTCTTCCAAAGATAAGGCCTCGGGCTCACATGGTCTAGAGCAAATTGATCCAAGTGTTGATCAAGTCGAGGCCATGGCTTTGTCCGAACCAGGGCGGGACGCGCATGCGGCCAGTGAGAGACACCGTTCCCTCGAAGGTGACGAGGAGAGGGAAGACACCGAACAAATTCCTAACAGGCTAGATCAAGGAGATCGCGTTACTTCATGCATTTCATGGGGTGGTACTGTTGTCTCGAGGGAAGAGGTAGAGATCTTAGAAGAGATAAAGGCCAAGTATCTGCAAACTTTTGGAAACCTCGAGGGG